TTTCACAACAATAGTTCTCCTGTGTCTAGGTATACTTTGAGTGAAATTGTTCCTATTTGATTAATGTTTGGCTTGAATTGATGATTCAATCACAAAAGTGAGTTCAACGATTTTCCCTTGGAAAATCGCTTGTTTACAGAACTCGATTCGACTTCTACAACAATTCTGTGTTGAGTGCAGTACTTTGGGACATCTTGCATTATTCCCTACTGCATCGTACACAACATCGATATTCCACTTGTATAGGATCTTTTCCTTTTTGTGTGGATACAGATTGTCCGACAGACTTGCGTCCGGCATGCTTGCGTCGAATCCCGACATCGCGCACGATCAAAGTCCGATCGCACGTGTCAAAAACCTTGTACTTGAATAGTTTCTTTTGGAACGTAAAAACTCATATTTGTCATATCCCAACACTAAGGAGAAGCAAAGAGGGTCAAAGACAGTAGATTGTGTCCTGGCATAGTGAAGCCGCAGATAAGTGGTGAATTGCCTGGATGTAGGAGGGAAGAATGCCAACATTTGAACATCCATAAAGGGAAATCAAATTGAGGCATCTGCCAATCGACAGGAGGATGAAGGAACCGATAGCAATTGCTTTGCAATAGGTCCTTGCCAAGGGTTGGATTGTTGCAAGGAGTCGGTGCAGGAGAGGGCATCCAATTGGTAGAACATATTATGATCGTCAAAAGGGCCACATGCACCCAAGGTCCGGCCGTCTCAGCAAGCCTTGATACCTTGCAAGGCGTTGCGGGGCTTCCATGCATCCAAAGAGGGGCCTCATGTCTGTCAGCAATTCCATTCTTGCCACCAAAGGCAAAAAATGAGAAAAGCTGTTGGGCCATTTTCTCATGCTTCTGGAAAGGGATATCCTCCTCAGCATCTTGGAGAACCACCATTGGAGTGGATAGTGCGCTTGTGCTGGAGGCCTTTTCAGTTGCCATGCCACTGCCATCATCAAAAACTGTGTTGATGGGACCGCGAGCATCATCAAGAAATCCCAAGAAGCCTGCTGAAAATGGGCAAGATTGGACCATTTTCGCTTGTTCTTGTGGGACAGGATAACTACTGATATAATAGGAATCCCAGTTTGCTTTCTGACTGTGCGGCTTCTTGTTATCCTCCTCATCATCAGCGATTTCGTCGCTGTCATCGTCGTCCAACAGACCCAAAAAGGCAGAAGCCTCAAATGGGCAGATTTTGTCCACTTTTCCCCGTTCTTTTTGGACAAGGCTTACAGGAACATGATAGGAATCGTTTTCGGATACTCTTTGTGCCCTGGGACCCTTGCCTGTCTTTCTTTTGCTCATCTTGGTCCTTTGTTTTCCAGTTGAAAACAACCTCTTTTTCAGCGTCGCTACGGCCGCTCCGTGTAGGAGGAGTACTAGAGGTGCTGTTTTGGAACCCGGATTTGCGTGTGGTTTTTAATCGTGTGTTTTTTCGGAATATAGAGACAGTACAAGATCAATGAAAACTTGAGGAGACAGAACGCGAAGTGAAAAGAATTTGATTACAGAATTGGTGGAGAAGTTTTGATCAAGAATACTGATGGAAGGAAGTTGGATCCGAAGTACAGAGGTCCATATCCTATTACAAATGTTTTCACTAATGGTACAGTGGAAATTCAGCGCACAGATGCGATCCGTGAAAGGATCAACATCAGACGGCTTGTGCCGTTCCGTTGAGTCTAATGGACAATATGCTTGCATCGCCCATTGCGTCAAGAACCACCTCTGAAGTTGAATGGAGAATCAAGTGGATGTAAGGACGCCTTGTGACTTTTAGTGTATGATCGATTGCCTGGCTCTGATCATAGAAGGGGAAGAGTGTAATGACCTTGGAGTGACCTTGGAACTAGATTAGACCCTTTGGAGGTACAGACATAGCTTTTGGTCTAACGTCACTGCTTTCTGACAAGACTGCATAACTTTTGTTGTGACCCATTCCTATCTCTTCTTCTAGGCTGGTTCAAAGTCATTTCTCGAGAAAGAACCGTGACAAATTCGGAATTCCTCACTCTGCCGGGTGGGTGTTCCAGGAATTTCAACGGTATTTGTGAGTTTAGAATTTGAATGGACCCATCAAAATTACGGATTTGCCATCGTTGTCAAGAGCATCTTCCAAATCAGGATATTCAGCACTGTGGACACAAAGGTCCTCCGTTGCAGCATTACATTATCAAGAGGGAGAGAACCGTAAACCGTGTGTTGTTGTTCACCCAAGGATCAAGATGCATCATCCGGTGGGTCAAAATTGGGAAGCGACAAGGAGCTATCGTCGTCGCTCTCTTTTGCTCGGTGGTATTGGGAAGCCGGATCTCCTCTACTTTGGGGTTGAGCAATAGAGCATCTTTCTGAACATGGCAGAAAAAAGATTCATGCTGGTTTGGGTTCCTCCATTTTCCAGAAGGCTGGAAGCTTTCCTAAGGACAAAACGTTTCACCTTTGACTAGAGCATTTGTTAGAGGAAGCGTACCAAATTATTTTTTGGCAGAAGGAATCCGTCAAGGACAACTTGGGTGGCTTTTCTCGTACAGTTGACGAGCGCAGAAAAGGGATGAATCAAAAGTAGACCTACAGTAGTTGATACTGACGCAATCTCTACAGACCATTGGTCATCTGGGCAGACTTCCAACATACTTCCAGCAGAGTCAAATCTTACGATCTTTTCAACAAACACTTTTGTTATACTCCTATCGGTTACTCAATATCCCAGCCCTAACTATTGTTGGCCCTTTTAAGTACTCCGATTGTTACTAAATATTTCAGCATCTTTACTGAATATTTCATGCCAAAAGTACATGTTTCTTGGCCAAACCAAGACTAGATAGCGCACCCAAAAACCACTATTTTAATGCTCACAATTTCATTATCAACTGATATCGAATCCCTTTGATCTAGGTTAAGTCAGATACTAATACAGTCCATTTCTCGATTACTTTTTGGAATTCTAGTTGATATAGGAGTAGTCCAAGTTCACTTCTTAATTCTTTTTGGACTTGTTTTTTCCAACCGAATGATGCAAAAGAAAGTCGTTCTTGGCAATTGTTGATTTCTTCTTAGGGTAATTGTTTTGGAGAAGTCGTTTCTCCACCTGATCGAGGTTGGATTTGAATTGTGTCGGAAGGAGCATCTCCAAGTTATCTGCCTCTTGCTCCAACATTTCGATCTGCTTATCATCGTCAGCAGCTCCAGCAGTGGTACCGGGTCGTCCAGGCGGTTGCTTCCCCAATTTTTGCCAAGCCTGGTGCGTTTCTTGGGTTTCCAAAGCGGGTGATCCAATCGCTAACTTGAAAAATCCTCGCAGTCCAAACATGACCAGAAAGTACCAGCTAATGCTACTGACATAAGAAGTTTCCAAAGTAGCAAGACCCTCTAATCCACGCTGAAACATTTGTTTGAATCCCAAGGTTAGACGAAATGGTACCTTGAGTAGAATGAATCCCGAGAAGAAATGTTGAATTGCTTGCATCATGATCATATTTTGAACCATGAATGCCATGTTTCCCATCATCCCCTCCATGGAAGAAAAGGGATTCGGCATATCACCATCATCGTTTTCTCCTCCATTCTTCTCGCCTGCTGCATCCTGTTCATCCAAGTGATTCTCGCACCATATAGCTTGGGCTCGCAACAGCTTTGGGTATGCCAATTTTCGAGATTCAAGCTTGGAAGTTGACAGAAAATGCACGGCTCCTCCTTTGAGAATGGCCACTGCCCTCACTGATGACTGAATGCGTTGGGTTACTTTGGTGCCTTGCTTTGGGTCTGGTTTCAAAACATTTCCCATGTGAAAACGAAGGAGTCCAGCTGCGACCATGATGACAAACAAGGGGAGGACCACCCAATCTCGAATGTCGGAATCTAGCAATATATTCTCAGCTGTTGACATGGACTTCTCTTGTTTGACTCGATGAATCAAGCTTATGGATATACTGTACTGGTACGTTCTATGTGGAGTAACATAATTACGGTACCAGGTACCACCCGTATGTACCGGGAACGCACCACAACGTGCAACGCACGCAATTGAAATGTCCGTTAATTGTTTAATATGTTTTTTTTGTGGAAAACGTGAAGTGTCCGTTGCCATTTTAGCGCGGGCGCACTGTGAAAATCGGGCATGCCCCGTGCGTCAACGTTAATTGGACCAGAGAATGTCCGTCATTCGTACGTTTAGATAGTTTAACCTAGAGATTCGCACACATCTTGTAAAATCCCCATGTTTGTCATCGTACTCGTTTTCGTCCCAAATCTCTCGCACCTCGCTACTCAATTTAACGGTTTATCAGACCCAAGCAATCCACAATGGATAGAGGAGCCTGGGAAGGCTTTCGAATAATATCTGTTTGAGGAAATCGCCTCATTCAGCCATGGTTAGGATCACCATCGTCGTATCGATCTTGTGATTTTTTCATGCCACAATTTCGGCGTTCGGATGCGCACCGAAGGCTAATCACGTCGCAGCGTTAACTAAATTGTTCGCTAGCGAAGGCTAAACGGCAGACGTGCCATGCGTGCAACCATCCGTGCCACGTTTATATACAGCTCTCAATATGAGAT